AACTCTCCAGCAACTTCTAGGAAATTAGAAGAAATTACAAAGAAAGGGTTAAACAAAGATATAATCCATGATTTAGTTATGGATAAACTGCAGAATAAGAAAATGCTTAATGCAAAAAACGCTTAATAGAAGCAGAACACGATCATCATTTAGCCCTGGAAGTGGCTTGGCAAAACCTGAACCAGTTGTCAATTCGGCATTTAAAAAGTCTTTGGAAATATTGAAGCTAAATATAAAATAGATAAAGAGAACACATGTGATAAACCCATAACAAATAATCAAAAACCGCCTTTATATAGTTTACAAAAAATCACCAACAGATTCATCAATAATGAGGCCTTCAAACACTGGATCAACCTTGTACCAGCTTAGTAGTTTAAATTCTCCATGAAACTTTTGCGGATTACAACACGCTTATCCGTCAACTATAGAACCTGATTCACTGGTTCTAAATGAAAAAGCAACCAGCACGCCTTTAACTTCCTTCAAAAGTTGTCCCAATATAAATCACTCAGGCCAATATCTATGCATAGTTCTTTTAAATTAAAATCAACTCCTAGCAAAGATGTATTAAGCTCGTCATTACCAGATACGCCTATGACGAATCCAGAAGCTTTTTCGATGCCAGACATAACAAAGAAATTGTCTGAAGATTCATTCCGTACACCAGTTGCACCTCCCAGATTGAAACGAGAAGATGAGACTAGGAGAACAGCGGAAAGGCTGCGACAAGAGGCAAAGCTAAGAGCTCATATGAAGAGTAATGAGGATTTAGGATTAAGTCCTGAAGATAAATATCAAATGTTGAAGCAGAAAATAAATAAAAAAGCAAGCAGAGAGTAGCGAGCACGCTGACAGTAGTTCAGGAAAAACGGAATACGTAATTACGACGTACAAGCCTTTAAATGATCACCAAAATTTTGCTGAGAATTTGAGGCCCAGAACAAAATCATTCCATGACATGAATAGACCTAGTTCGACTTCCACAGTGTATAGTAATTATTCTCAAGATTCAGCTAAAGATAAGTCCATAGAATCTCCACGAAAAGTAGTGGTTTTTGCACATCTGACCCTAACATGTCATGTGATTCACCAAAAAGTGACTCTGGTAGGAAGTTAAGACGAAAGATAGGGAAAGAAGGAAGAGCATTATTCAGGCTGTGTCAGATTTCTTCCATAAACGAATATCGCATTCAAATCCTACATCACCTATTAAAGATGGCAAGGCGCAGGGTATATACTCATCACAAAAATCTAAGGATAAATCTAAGGTAAAATTATAATAATATTAGATGGGTAAGCCATTAAGGATATATTGCGATACGTTCAAAATAACAATTAAATTAAATTGCAGAACATGCACAATTACTTGTTTTGTGTTGAATTTTGTCATTTGCAATTTTAGTTTTGTAATTAAAATATTCATCTATTTTGAGACATAAGAATATATTAACATTTTAACACAACTTTGATATATAAAGAAGTATGATGATTGTTGAATTAGATTTTTAACTAAACTGATAGGTACTTTTTCATAACTTATTGTTAGTACCTCACCTAGATTTTCTAATATGCACTATATAATAATTCTATGACTATTATTATCATGATGCACAAATTTAATATATTAGAATGATAAATTCACTTTATTCAAATTTCTTTCAGTCCTGCTTTGATATGGATCACCTAAACAGTTTTGTAAGCATTTTAATAAGCAGGTTTTTTGTTTTGTTGTATTCGGTGGTTATTTTTTGGGTTTATAGCACGTGTTTATTTGTTATATCTGGGTTTTCAAAATTGTATTTTCTTGTATCCAAGTATTATATAATAGGATTATTATGTTGACTAAATAAGTTTTAGATATCATATAAAATTGAAATGTAACTATTCAGGTCAAAATATAAATAATCTATAATTATTTACTAATGAGTAAAAGCTTGGTCAACATAATAAATATTTAAATGTTATGTATATATTGGGTGCTTTACTTATTATTTATGTTAGGTATTTAAATCGCTTAGTTTGTCATCTGATTTTGATTAATTATTTTGTTACAAACATCATAAAATATTACAGTATATTTATAAACAATTATCATTATGTATTATTTAAATATTTGTTTTTTTCCTGCAACACAAGAATAATTATTTAAATCAAATGACAAAATTCAGTCCAGTAATTGTGAATTCGTCTTCACATTATGAGGCTAAATTTTTTAACGTTTGAAAATTACAATTATTATAAAGTATCAGTACTTAATTTTATATTTTGCATGAAATTCTAACATTTTTATATGGTTTATGATAACCATAATATTTTCGGTACTCATATTTATTCACAAACAAAATATTTTCAATGCGTTGTAAATATTTTGTTTGTTTGTTTTGTATATCCATAAATCAGTATATTAAGTATTTTTTTATCTTATATTAAAGCACTGTAATATATCTACTTTCATAATTTATTTTATCATTGTTAGTAAGCGTCCCAACATTTTTGTATTTCTGTAAATCTGTATATTTATTTTGTATTTTTCGTTGCAGTAAAAATGTTTTTGTTTCAACTCAAGTTCGACTATGTAGATATTTGGTGTTTTATATTTCAATTTTTCTTCGATGTATATTTGCTGCATGATGGGTGATGTCGAGTTTTATTAAGAGCTTTAGAAAACGTGAAAAACATTCTGGAAAACACTTTTAGGAAAATTACAATACGGAAAATGTCTTGCCATATCGCTGTCAGTCCGAGAAGAACCTCATTGTGTCCAGGACCGTCCAGGATGAACAACCGCCGCCTATACCACCGCCGCCTTTGAACTATGCGCCGCCGGATTTACATCACGTATCAGGTAATAATATAGTGATTTCAAGTTAACGAATATTATAAAAATAAAAATCTAATAATATAAAATTATAAAAGAAATATACATAAAACAATGATATATACGTAAAACTAGACTTTAAGAGATAGTGTAGATATTATGTAATTTAGTATATGGCTAATGTACTAGCTTATAAAGCCAATAAATCATATATAAAAAAAAAAAGTTAACGAAACGAATTTTCTCCATGTTGTTCACTTATACACCAACGATTTAAAAAAAAATCTAAACAAATACTATTAATGATTATTAATAACAGATGGTAGTCAATCTGAAGATCTGGATGGAAGAGGGATTTCTTTAGAAACTTTAGACTACACAAATAGTTCTTACAATTTGGATGGAACGAATCCTTCATCTACTGAGCCAAAACGAAGGCGCAGTCAAAGAGCCATCAGGAAAGCCGAGTTGAAAAGGTAATCATACTTTTATTTAATACTTTACATACACTTCTTAAGTAATAATTATTGTGTTTAACTAACAGTTTTGTGTTTTATACTTACCCTTTTTTTTAATTTCAATAATTATTACAACTGCTAAATTATTAACATCAAGTAATATTGATAAATAATAACATAAATTTAAATCAATAAAAGTGCAAAGGATAAATTTACATGAAAATATATCCATATAGATTTGAATAAAATATAAGCCAAATATAATAAAAATAAAATTAAAATAATATGAAATAAAATTTTCTGAATGATAAAATAATACTAGAAAATAATAAAATATACAAAATAACAATAATAAAAATGTAGATAATAATAATAATATAACAATAATAGTAATATAATAATAATAATAATAATAATAATATTTTACAAATTTATGAGATCGTTTGGAATTTTTCGTTTTAGCCTTGTTGGGAGCTTCTGAGTTTTGGTTGCCATAGCTCATAACACTCATTAAGTTTTAATTGCTATTTTTTAAATAAAATTTATTTTATATAGATTCAGGAGAGCTCAAGAAAATCAAAGGCAGAGAGAAGAGACTGAAGTTAAGCAAAGAGAGTTAGAAGCCAAAGGCGTTGCCATAGAAAAAGCTTTAAGGGGCGAAGGAACTGAAAATACACGTATGTATTGTTTTTATTGAAATTTCCACTCATTTTACTTCTGATTCATATCATATAATCAATGAGAATGAAGTAAATGAATTGAAAACTTACCATGCAAAAAAACTTTGACATTATAATGTCTATAGTTTCTATTCCTAAATATAACCTTATAGTAAATGTGATAAATTTTAAATTTTTCTCATAGCACAATGCCACTTACAATTTTTCTCAAAATCACTTACACCTAGTTTTGATAAGATATATTGTTTGGCAAACGATTTAGCATAGTACAAGGTGCAATGGATCAAATTTAGGTCCAAATTAACATATCCTTATGTTTTAACAAGATTTTTATACCATATTTTAATAAGAAAAAGGAGAATTTATTTTGATTTTTTAGAACTAGATGAGCAACTTTTTGCCTCCTGGATGCAATTGCGTAGGGAGCAGCAAAAATTACATGTATACGATCAGATGCTATCAATTCAAGCAAGGGAGCTTCAATTGGAGGATCGACATGCCAGATTACAGAACGAGTTGCGAGAAAGGTTATCGCAGGACGGTAAAGAAATACATGATAAAAATTATTTTTGGAGTTTTGTATTTGTAACTTTTTTTTATTGATTTATTATTTTTTCCAGATTCCACTAAAACAACTGAAGATGCAAATCGTGAGAGTCAAATACTGCAAGAAATGTTGGAGATTGTTAAAATGCATGATTCTTTAGTGCTTGAACGAGACAGGCTCAGGTAGTTTTTGTTAATCATTATATATGTATATATATATATATATATATATATATATATATATATACTCATACCACACATTGAGTTCTTTTGCTCAATTTAGTTTTGAGTCGGTTGCTTTCCAAAAAAATAAAACACGCAAAGTGAATTAGGATTTTTAATAGAAAACAATGGAAGATAGGGGTTTGCAAAAGTACTACTTTTTATTAAATATATATCTTATGTAAAAGAATAAAACTAATAATAAATAATTCTATTAAAAATATTCAATTCATGAAACAAAATTAAAAATAATCACTGAAAAATTCGGCAATTTTTCACAAAAAATTGGTAATGTTGTTTCAGCTTTTCTATTTTCGTAGCAATAGTTATTCTAGTCGCAATTTCGGATATTTGTACCTATCGTCTGGTGCACTATAAAAAATTTTTCTAGTCCAGGATCGTTTTTAATAATAAATATAATTTAATTTCATTGTAAAATTCGCACGATTCGTGTTGGAATTGTACATACTTATCATGCATCATCATAATCCTATATAAAATAAAAGTTTTTGTTACTTTTTTTTTATGAAGGAGTACTGATACCCCAACATCAAATGTACAAGAGGCACCAATTGATGAAACCAGATGAGATTGCAAGTTGTATTTGAAGCACTGTATGCAAGAGGTGCTCCAATATCTCCTGAATCTTTTACAACCGATATGAGGTGATTATTTTCTGATGACGGTTGATGGTCAATGAAATAGGTTTTATTCTGGGGCATGACATTTTATTAAAATGATCAAATAATATTATAACATCACATTTATTACAAAAACATCATGTTACCACATACACAGGTTTAAGGTAAACGTTTCCAATTTGCGATATGTTATTGAAATTCTATTTTGTATGCGCTGCTTAAACCCATTTTAAAATATTTTAGTGCTACTTCTGCCTTTAGATATGTAACGTATTTTTATATTATATATTTAACGACTATGAAAGAATATGATAGTCATAATGTTATTATTAAGGTTTTATTATATAATCAAATGAGTCATAATTCTAAACAGTGAGATTATTTGAGTATATTTTTATGTGATTAATCATCTATGCCTAAAATTATTTGTTATAGATTATGTGTATAATTTTAGCTATATTTTGCAAAAATTAGAACAATTTTTATGTTTATTGATTTGATGAGCATTTAGTTTGCGAATGCGTGACATTTATTTTTATACTATTTGATATAGTTACTAATAAATATATAAAAGTGAGTTTAACACTTATGTGATATTTACATAGCATTACTTATTCAGTAATATTACGGAATTGTTTTTATTTTTAACACTGTATTCTATTATGGATACTATGAGCCAATAATTTTAGCTGTAAATTGTGTATTAGTATTTATGAACAAATCAATATTAACCACTATTACTATTTTTTGGCAAATATCGAACAATATTTAATTATATTATTTATAATGAATATTTTGTATAGTATTACAAAGATTGGAATTGCAAAATTACTTATGTATGCTACTGTAATAAAGAGCTTAAATATTATACATTAGATGTTTTAAGTAGTATACATAGTTTGCGAAAATCCTAATTTTTGTTATTGCAGAAATTATGAATATTAAACTAAGAGCTCTAAAACTATTACTTGTAGCTATCTTATGTAAAAGGTAATTACAGTTACAATATAGCATGTGTATTTGGAACCTGATATCACTACAATATGATTATTTTATGAAGACATCGAAGAACAGTTACCCTATTGGCCAAATCACATCCTAATATATACAAATTGGAATTATTTGGAAAGTTACTTACTGATGTTCTTGAAACAATGCTATATTTTTAAGTGATTTTATTAGAGCATAAGCAGCTGAACTAGCGGTGAGTACACATTGATTGATTAATTTTGTATATCATAAAGATAGTACTAAATATAAATAATATTTACAGGTGGTAAAAATAATCTAAAAGGAAACGTATTCGTTTAGATATTCTATATTGATTTTTGTACAATAAATAATGTTAGACTTACAAAATATTTTAATATTACTATATATTACTCTATTTTTCATTTTCTAAATTATATAAATCTAAATTAACTAGATAAATGAAAATAATCATTTTTTTCTTATTTATCACATTCTAATATAATGAATTTTGTTGTTTTTTACATTTTTTAAATTTAGTCTACAATTTTGCTTTTGGCTTTGTAAATCAATTTCATTGTTCGGTTTACATTAACTGAAAGTGCATGAACTATTTCTAAAATATTTTGTTTACGATATTTATTCATTGAATTTTAAATATTGATAGATAATATTTTAAATTTATTCACTTTTTAAAAACTTACATATTACTTCTATTTTTGATGCCATATATTTATGTGTATTGTTCAGGTACTTCATATTCTCGTAATTTTGAAATAGTTTGAAATTTAAGTTAAAAATCTGGATTATAATAATTGGAATCAGAATCTACATTTCATATTATTTAAGATTATTATTTGTTTTATTTTATTCATATCATTTCAATAATTTTAATTAATTATTATTCTATTTAGGGAGAAGTCACCAAATCTAAATAAGAAAATATATCACCATTGATCTTTCATCTCTACAATGCATATTTTGTTTACTGCACTTGTTCACTGCGGAATGTTGATCATGGTATATTAGTTATTCTTCTTTGTTTATAAGGTATTTTTCATACTTCTCATATATATATATATATATATATATATATATATATATATACATAAAAGATATATATGTATGTATATATTAATATACATGCTTGTGTATATTAATTTATTTTCGATGCTTCAGTACTGATATGCTAATTCCATCTGGTTCGATATAAAATTGATATTGTATGAATATATATTCAGCATACATTCAAATTAACAAAATATTTTAAAATATGATTTAGAATTGCATTGACATATTATTCAATTAGTATTGGAAATAAAACCAATGACTTAAATGTAATTCGAATACCAAACGTAGAGTGATGACACCGAAGATTCTTTTACTTGCCAAAGGTCTTCGTAATGCTAATTTTTTAATATACTTTGACAAAATCTGAGAATTAGTTCCGAAAATCGAAAATAAATAAAATATTTTGTATATTCTTTAGTTTCTTGTTATAAACTACTAAAAAATGTAAACCTAGGACTCGTCAACTTATGTGGAATTGATACACTTATCTTTCTCGCCATTTACACACAAAATCAGCATTTTTCTGCAAGGAATATAATTATATATAATGAAGCAGCTATATTAAATTTTTGATCATAAAGTATTAAGTAAATATTAAATTAAATTGATACAGATACGTAGGTGGGAATACAATTTGAGTCTATAACACCATTCCATATAATTTTACACATATTTATTATATCATTTTTCATCATGACTTCAATCAAAACTTACCAACATTTTTTTGATTCTGCCGATATTATAGTTCTATTCAGATTCACACAGATTTGTCTTCGTCTGGTGATGATAAGAAATTTGTGGACACCATATGTTGCTGGGCACGGTTGTGCCGATTCGAATGTTCGAAGAAATATATTGTGGACATAGCTGCTAAACTGAAAATGAGGAATAAACTGGTTAGTAATAAAATAATAATAAATATTTATTTAGTTTTACGATTATCAATCAGAACTTATTATTATGAGTTCCCTAAGCCGTTATGAGATAATTTATAACACTTTTCTGTTTTCTTTTTTGTTTTTCCTGTAAAATCTTATATCACTACCACTTCATATTTGATAAGTTTTTCTTTGAAACTATTAATGTTTTCTATAGGCTATTTGTAGTTATTTATATTACTATTAGTTACTTACCAAGAGGCTAAAATGAATATGAGGACAACAATTATAATTTGAATCAGTTGACTTGATAGAAATTTGCCATTTTTGGACTTGGTTCGTAAATACTTTTTATGCTTTTTAACATTATCATGTTTACTGCGACATGATGAACATCGGCGTAATCTAGTCGTCGAAACTGCAAAATTGATTATCACAATTGTACATCAGTATTTTAAAATTATTTTTTTTAATAAATTTAATATTTACTTGTTAACGTGTTAAACTTCTGGTTAATTTTCTCAAGTTCACTAATGCGTTCCTCCAGATTTTCGGTCATTTTACATAACTCTTTGACTGCTCCAATATTCTCCATGTATAAACGATCCTTATAAAATTATACAGAATTGTTAATACATATTTTATTTATTAAATATTGCAGATGTTTTATGAATCGAATATTGATTCTTGTACCTTATTAACAACTAGAAATTTATCAATTACATGCCCATTTGGTAGTACGATGTTACCGGCTTGTGCAACGGCTTCGGGAATCACTTGTTGAACCTAGGATAAATATTATAATATATATATATATATATATATATATATATATTCTTATCTATATTTATATAGTTTTCTTATTAATTTACGTTACTATTTCTACTGATTACTATTAATTTACGTCTAGTATTCAGATTCTGTATAAAACAGTATATTAAACATAAACATATACATATTAAACAGTACTAATAGAAAGTTGTATATAAAAATTAATTTAATATTTTGAATTAGGACTAGAAGTTATAGATAGGTGACAAATATTTTGCGAAACAAAATTAATATAACAATTAATAATTACCTCTTGTGCAATAACTCCCGTATCACTCTCTACCATTATCCCTGAATAATTGACGAATTCAGGATGATAACTATAACTGAATAAGGAGTATTTATTATATTAAGATGATCTTTGAGAGAATACAAACAAGTAAAAATAACAAAAGAATTATATCAATACCTTACTACTCGTAATTGCTTCACATTTTCCAATTGCTGCCTCGTATCAAGTTCTTGAATATTTTCTTTAGCTCGAGCATCACTAGGCTGGACAACATGGCCACTTACTTTTATGTTACCTAAATAAAAAAAGATTTCATAAAGCTAAATTATTTAAGAAACTAAGGTACAAAACAATAATTAAGTAATTATTATAATGTTAATACCGTGGACAACTAAAGTTTCGTCTGGTTTATCCATATTGATTCCGACTTTTCCAGCGTGGAATATAGAATCCTGAAAAGGTTGAAATATTTTTATAACATTGATTTTGTGCCAGTTTTAATTTTTCATGAATTAATAGAAATCTAATCTAATAATCGAATTATTAGGAAAGAAGATAAGAAAAATAAAAAAAATAATTAATAATTAATTGAAGAAAGATAAAAAAAATATGTGAAGTTTGGCTTAAATTTTGTTATATGAAGTTTGATTTATAAATAGAAAAATAAGATATTTGCCAAAAAGTGTCAAATTATTTAGTTAAATTTTTTAAATTTCCATTGAAAATTGCATTATTTTCTTACTGGAACTTGTCCTCGTTGCCAGCACAGTTCCACGTCACTCTCAAACTGACCAGGATTAGACGCCCTCACAATTATCCGTTCCGAGGCATGTGCGACTACCGGATAACCATCCTGATCGCCTGCACATTCCGAGCCACCTCCACCAGTTCCATTGCCCGAAGTTGTGTGCGCGTGCAGGGCTACTACCAGCCTGAAGTACCTCTGATCAGGATTAGGTCTTCCTTTTTTGCGCATGTTGTTGGCAGTGGTTTCCGCAAAATGCAGACGGGCGACCGTTGCTTTGGAGGTCTCGCCCGCCGAGAGCGATAAGCTGCGGGAAAACCTTCGGCGCTTTACTCTTCACGTTTTAGATTGATTTTGTATTAAAATTATTTAAATAATATCTAAATGGAGATAGACGTGATATTGTTCTTGATTTGGGTGAAAATGCTTTGAGATATATTTTTTTAATTTGTTTCGTTTTGAAGAACTATTTACGGAGTGTCCCTGAATAATATATGATTTTTAGGGGGAGTAGACCCAGTAAACACCGTGTAATTTGACCGGCGGTAGCAACCTGAAATCCACAAGCTTGTCTTCAGCGATGTGACATGCATGTGGAATCTATGTCGATTTCAGATTGCTACCGCTGCTCGGTGCCCCCCCCCCGGTATTTACTGGGGAGGATTGACTAAAAATCACAAAATATCACGTGGGGTAGAGAGGGGTATAGTAAGATGTCATGTGTATTTTTTTCCTGAATTTAAAAAAAATCCAAACATTTTCAACAAAAATTCAAAAAGTTTCACTTTTTTTGTAACTAAAAATGCAAGTGATGTTTGGTGGGGGAGGAGTTATATTCAATTTTAAATATATATTTTGAATATATATTACGAAGGGGCAGGGGGGGGGGTCAAAAATCCTTAAAAATCGATTATGTGATTAATGGACGCTTTCTTATCACTTTAGTATTTCTAATAAAAACAAGTAAGTACCTAAATATTATAATATTACTTACAATAAAACTTTTGATTAGGTATTCGGTATGATCGTACAATATATAATAGAGCAATATAAAAGATGTCACATGACATACTGGCAGTCGTCTATAGGGAAAACTCATGGGGATTATGAATTTTTACTAATATTATTAAAATAAACTATTTTAATCAATTAAATAATTCTATATTATATTTATAGACTCACAACACTGGATGGAATGGCCTCTTGCTGCGATCAGATTGACTTTGTTCTACTTTAATAGTATGCGTGGGAGATTCCACTTTGACTCCATAGAAATGCAAATGAAAAGCTCTAATCTTCTTGAAACCATCAGCTGTTTTTACAAATTGGGCATCGCCTTGAAGCTGAGCATGGCACGTTATCTGACAAACAGAATGATTATAACAAATAAAGATAAGTATAAAGAAACATACTTAATACTTAACTAACATTCAATAATCTTCTTACCTGGAAATGATTTTTCTTCTGACAGACGAAAGCTTCATCAGCCTGCGAGAAGTTGAATCCTTTATCAGCGTCCACTCTGTAGTGCGGCGTTGGCAGTTCGCGCAGAGATTGGTCACACAAAACATGCCAGGATGTTTTCCTGAATGGTGAAAATCGGATGCATTGGAAGGTCTGCTGGGATGCATTGGCACTATTCGCACTGTTTGGAGAGGCCTGGGTTGGACCTTCAGGAACTGACACAGGTAAGGACAAAGGATGAGTCCATTGAATACCTAGAAATGAAACAGCAAATAACGAAACTTTAAGCTTTTACCAAAAATTATTATGTTTGCTAGTTATTAAAGCTAGTTTGGTATCTTTAAAATAATCAGCAAATGAAAAATTTACATTAGGTTTGCAACGGATATTTGGTATTCGACCTATTAGGTCTATTCGGCTGCAGTTATTAAGTATATTAGACCGAATATATAATACTATTCAGTAGTATTACATGATAATTGGTAAAAAATCAATTCTATTTTTGTAATACTCATTTAAGTAGTAATCCGTACCTAACACAGGTAGATAATCAACCTCCATATAAGAAAAGTTAAGAACCTGTCTATGAATTTGAATTTCTTTAATCAATATCTGACAAAAAAGCTATTTTTCTACTTTATTACCCACCTGTCCTGTGAATGTCCATCCAGCGACATGTCCCCCGTATTGGCTGCCACCAGTAAGGCGTTAGCTGTGGCACTAAATGCTGCTGCATCGTTTGCCTCGTTGCCGCTGCAGCAAAGAGCGGTCAATGGGGCAGGACTTGGTACCGGTTCTAATTTGACGCCACTCGGGCTATTGGTCAATTTGCGTTTTTTGTTCGGGGCCGTTGTTAGTTGCTGTGTTGCTTGTTGTTGCTGGGCTTGTTGCTGTTGCTGCTGTTGTTGGGTTGTTTGGAGATCGGCGTATACAACACCTTCGGCCTGATGATAAAAAAATGGTATTTAGATTATTGTTTAGGATAGGAAATGGTGCAATATGGTTATAGATAGCTGCAGATGCAGATATAGTCAATGTAATTAGACGTTATACTGTTGCTAAGTTACTGGTAAGGTTAATGCTATGATCTTGGCATTAAAGTGAAATTGCGTTAATTCTTTGAGAACAGTGCAATATACGGCATCAAATATAATTTTATATCCCACTTGTGTGTAAATCAGGGCGTCATCCAATATCTGGTACTGGGCAGTCGGCGGTTGTGGATAATGGACTGCCATGATGGTTCCTTGAGGTGGAGGACTGTATGGATGTTCACTGCCCGAATCCGGCGGACTTTCTGGTAACCTATGTTGCGTTGAAGTTCCAATCGGTTCCAGATTTGTCTGTCCAGGAGATGTTTGTAATTGATGTAACGGCACCAGGCCTGATAGTAAGCCGCTCGTCGAACTAATAAAGATAAAATGATACAGGTTCTATATGAAATCATGGTAACTTTTGGGTAGATAGTCGGGGCAATGATAAACAATTTGATTAGTTATGATTAAATCGCAAAAAGTTTACATAGTCAGGTATATTATATAATGTACTCTGAGATACTTCTTCTCGAATCAACATAGAGGAAATTTTATGGGCAGTCTAAACAAAAGTTGTATACTATATTTATACGAACCATTAAGAGTTTTATCAATTGCAGTGATAATATATAACCATTATTAATATGTCGAATATGAATATTTATTCATTTATAATTTGCATCAATATAATTCTGTTTCTATTAGTTCACTTACTCATGTTTCTTAATGAGAGAGTCGTTTTGTTGCGAGAAGTATCCTCCTGCACCTGTGCAAGCGTCACTGTTTATATAGGCTTCTAGTTGTGAAAAATCCAAGCCTCGTTGTCGATTCCACCAACAAAATCTAAATAAGAAAAATATATTATTAGTTGCAATGAACTATATTATTATTATTTTTTTATTTCACGTGAAAAGAGGCATTGCTGCAGCGAATTAAAAATATGCTCACAACTAAATATGGGTTGCCTTCTATAATAATCGTTCTTGAATATACCTAATACACCTTATTCAAATCCTATACAGGGGGCAACCCAACTGAACCTTTCAAATGAGGAATTTAAATATTTTATTATAATAATTTTCAAAACTATTTTTTTTACATTTGTATGTGGACGAGAAACATTTCTGCAAATTAGCATCATTAAATAACTACTCGTAGGGTAAGTTATAGTAATCTCAAAAAAATCGAAAATGAAAATTTTTATTTATCTTTACGTTTCAAAGTTTGAAAGTTTTCTGAACATTTTGGCATACCTTAGAAAAAACGGATGTATGTGTTTGTGCGTGTGTGTGTGCGGATACAAATTTTCATCGACGATTCGGGAACACCGATCAACCGATTTGAATAATTCAAAAAACATTCGATTCGTATTGATAAGGAGACGTGCTGATTAGTTTTTGGCGGGGCAAAAAGTGCCAAAAATGGTAACTCAGTTTTAAGAGAACGGAGGTCCGATTTTAATAATTCAAAAAACATTTTACTTGTTTAACAAGATGAAGAATTGATCAAATTTTTATGAAGGCAGGTCTAGCGGTTTCGGAGATCTAATAAAAAAAAGTAAAAAAAAATGCCATTTGGCGGTCAAAAAATGATCATTAGACATATGCAAATCAAATTATCAGATGTTTTATAGAGATTTTAACAATAAGTATAAATTTTGTTTACATTCCTATCGGTTCCGTACCAATGTTTATCCGTTAGAGGCGACGCGGCGCTTACACGCTTTGACATTTCGTCTCTATGCAGTTAAAGCAGTACGATTGCTTTGAAAAAAAATTCAAAATTTCCAAAATATGTCAAAATGAAGAAAAATTTTTTTTTCAATAAATTTTTTTTTTCAAAAAGTAAAAGTAAAAATTTTTCCAAAATGTTAATGGTTTTTAAAAAAATAATAATGTTGGCACGGAGAAGTACCAGCAATTTGTTTTAAGGCACGATGCCATGCGCCCCACTAGTTGGCTTATAATTTGTATTATATAATTTTAATACTAAAACGTATAATATATTATGACAAAAATAATACATTACAAAATATTGTTTATTATCAATTTAATTGTCATAAATAAATGAAGATTTTTTATATGATCTTATAATCTAAATTATAATCTAAAGTTCAGATATAATTTAGTACATTAATAAAAAGTAAACACTGGATATTCTTTTTAAAATTCATTGTTATTTATCAAATTAATGACTCAATGACTTTCTAACTAGACAGAGAAAAAATTAAAAAAATGCTAAAGGGTGTAATATGTTAGAAGAAGATGCTTCTTATCAATTGTCGCTGAATTTGTTGCAATAATTTTAATTTATAATAAGCGTCATAATCCAGTGAAAATTTTCGTTGTTGATAATTAAAAATCACCTTATTTTTCTGCCATTAAATTTGTTTCTCAACGAAGGAAAGTGTTTTCTCAAAGAGGGAAAGTCGTCGGCTGATATCTTAATCGAAACAACAGCGATGTTCGTGTTATTATTTATTTATTATGTACATGTGAATTGTTTTTTCACGGTCGGCTTGGCCTTTAGATTATGATTAGATGAGGGCACTTTCAATTTCATCCAAAACAGCGAAAAGCTCATTAAGCGACCATCTCGATTATTTATTTAATTGATACTGAACCACTTGATTGCATCCAGCTATTCTATTAGATTGAGGATTAATTGTTTGATAATGGGTTAAGTTATATGTTTTTATTCATTTGTAAATATACACACACACACACACATATATATATATATATATATAAATTATTATAATTATTATTATATCCTGAATAGCTAATTAGGATGGGGCGGTTCACAAGGGCTTTTTGCACAATTTGACCTTCAGTAATGATACTACAACCAAATAAACTATATTAAAACAGATCTCACATCAAACAACCAATCGAATTTTATTTAGTAAAATTCCAAATATAGAAATACTTTTTTATATTACTATTTTTCTAAAATTTGTCATCCATCCTTTTTGCCCATAGGCGGTGTAACTGGATCATTTAGGAACAAATAGTTTTAAAATGCCTTTTTTTAATTTTAAAAGATTAATACGAAATAATAGTTAATTAGTCAACTAATGCGAAATACTAATTTAATGGGAGCATTTTTTACAAAGATTACACTGTATATAACCTGATCTGGTACTTTGTCTAAAATATTCACCAGCAGAGTGAAATAAGTATTAATTTAATTTATCTCTTCTAAAATTGCATTTCTT